ATTCCTGCTCAAAGGGAGTCTACAAAACACTTCCAGGAGACGGGTTAGGGAATCCATAGCCTTCCTGGACATTAAAAAATATGGATTTAACAGACAATGATTTAATCACTTGTTACAATCTTAAAAACTACCTGTTCTAATCTCTCTTCACTCCAGAGGCAATCATGAACCTCTTCATTCTTGAATGATCTTGCTCCTCCACTAAGTCACCTACTCTACTTTTCTTAGGAAAGTTCATGATAATCTCTATTTGCTCCTATTTTATAGCCTGCTTCCATTCCTTCAAGCAGATGAAGCAGTTAGTCTGAAGGTGCCACCCTGCCCTCCTTTCTGTCTTATTTACAGAGTTAAACACAGACCCCCTTTTTTCCCTTGTTAGCTTAGCTTGTGTCTGCTTCCATTTCAGGTCTGATGAAGGGTACTTTTTGCCCGAAAGCATGTCTAACATCTTTCCCAACTTTGCAGTTAGTCCAAAAAAAAAAAGGTATCACAAAAAATCCCTTAGGTCGCCTACATTTCTTGGACCATTGTAGCTACAGCCACATTCTAACACCACTACAGAGATGCATGTCAGAGCCCTGACAGATGTTGCACTTAAGATGTGATTGCTTGGTTAATCATGCTTTAAGTAGTGACCAGGCCACATGTTCATTCAGTTGATGGCATGGCAAAGTTATTACACAAAGTGTGCATGTAATTGAACGTGCGGCCAGTACCCACCCTCTGGAGCACAAGGGAGACTTTCAAGACTGCCGTGTGTTCCAGAGGCTGAGAGCACCCCTCACCATGTGCTTCCTTGGCTGGATTGGAGTTCCCAGCCACAGAAGCACACTTCATCAGCACTCTGATCCGTTGTTTGTCAGTCACCATGAAAAACATTTCATGAGGGCAAAGATGCATAAACTAAAAATACCGGTTCCAACCTTATATTTATTCCCTTGAGATTTTATTTAATTTAGGAAATGTTTCCTTTATAGCTTCTAAGAACTTGCAATGTTATATTACCAGTCTCTATCTTTGGAAACTCTTGATTCTTCAGTCGACTTTAGTGGAGAGTGGGTATCTCTTCTGTTTGCCTTGCACCTTATTAGAGTTTTTATGTAATAGGTCTGAGGGGTAATATAGATTTAGGATCTGAAAGTGCAGCTAAATGCATAGCTTTACATAGCACTGGTCTCTACAGGCTCTGCTTGTTAAACACATTTGTTCTGGTTGGTGGTAATTTGGGTTTTTATGGAGGAAATCACAGCTGCTTTCATAGAGCTAGTTACAATATACAAGCACCTTTAGTATTCATTACCATGGAGGCCTCTGACAGAGGACTCTGTTGCAACTATTAACACACTTATAACACTGACTGATGAAAATGGAATTTAGTGAGCATACATATTTTCAGTACTAAATAATAATGCATGATAACGTTAATAAATGCAACGTTTTACCTCTGTGACCTATTTTGTCTTTTTCCCAAGTGTATTGCTTACATTAAGGTGTCCAAAAAATACAATGCAGGCAATATGTCTAAATAGGAATAAAAAGCCCTGTTCTTTTTATTTTAAAATCTGATGAGCACTTGCCTAAGGATGAGAGATATAAAAGATTTCCCTTTTAAGGAGATGTGATTGTTGTAACAGGAAGAGGCTGTGGTGCTATTTGAACCAGATGTTGTTTTTCTTTTATCTTTTTTTTAGGGTGAAAAGGGAGCTGTAGGTGACCCTGGACCCAGAGGACCATATGGTTTGCCTGTAAGTGGCATGTAACCTGTGAACATTGCAACTTTCACCACTCCTTAATTAAACTTTGTATGCTTTATGGCTGTATTCCATCTAGCAGTTCAATTGGTTGAGGGCGGTAAGGAGAGATAATAATCCCTGACAATGCAAGGTCACTGCACTTGAAGCAGACCCATATCACAAAGATAGACAGATTCATATTCACATGTACAACTATGCAAAAGTAATGGGATGGAGCTGACATAAACCAACACAAGTGAGGATATCCAGACTTAAAGTGCTCCTTCTTCCAGCACTCATGGATTATGTATTGTCATACATGTTATTAGCTGTCTAGAGACCACCAAGACAGTGGCAAAGGTTCAGAGCAGTTTGTAGTCTTCAAGTATTTATGGTTTCCTTAATGTCTGGATTCTTGTTCAGATTTCTTTGACACAATAATATTTTGCTTTTATATTTTGGTTTTATGTATTTCTAAGTATATGGGATGGGAAAGCTTTCAAAGGCTGATAGTTTGGGTTTGGTTCAGATAAACATTTGAAAGTTCAGATGCTTATCTTACCGTCTTTCATCTGATTTCCTAGTGGCACTAAGTTTGTACTCTGGGTCTTGAAATCTCACTGAATATTTCAGAGGACACATTCCCTGATCAGAAACCAGAAGAGATAAAAAAGATGCATCTGAATGTACCTGAACAAGCACACCTCAAGGGCAAGGAAGCTCTGTTTCATATAAACTGATTAAGTCGTTTACCCATCACTAAATTAGGTTGACCATAGCTTCAGCTACTGTAAATTGGCCTAGCTCCATTGAAGTCAGTTGAACAATCCTAGTTGACACCTACTGCAGATCTGGTCCAGGCCATGGATACATTTGTGTCTGTGTGCACTGACACAACAAAGGGCTGCAATCAGTGACAACGCAGATCTGTTCCAGCTTCGATAAGATTGCAGCGGTTCCTACTGACATCCTGTTTGGTCATTTTTGACAATGGTAGGGCGTTGTTCATATCCTCTGTTGTAAGCCTCTTGGTGCCAAGCTGAAAGAATAGTATCGTGTGCCTTATGCCTTGCTTCACCAAAGTTGCTCCCAACATGAAGGCAGGCAGTGTTTATAACAGTCTTCCAGGGAGGGTAGATTGAATAGAGCCTGAAGTTCCACAGAGCCCTTTCGAAACGGATTGCTGAAAGAAGAGTGCATCCTTTTGCTCTGCACTTTTCCAAGCTAATACTGCCCCTTTTGATATAAGCTGGACTCTGACTGTCGCCTCAGTATCTGAGAAGGGTGGCATGAATAACTGGTTTATGGTTTTGGTACCCAACTTGAAAAATTAACACATGCAATTGTGTCATTGACCACAGCATGAGGCTTTTCATATCTGCATCTGTGCATGCTGGGGCCCCATCTCATGAGGTGCTGGGCGTCCACAACTCATACTGATGTCAGAACATTTGATCTGCTCCTGACAGAAGTTAAGGACAAACTTCACATGGGCTTTGGACAGAGCCAAAGCAGGTCCATGAATGTCGATGGTTTTTCAGTACTGTCTCTTTACTAAAGCTCTTTGTGAAATAGTGGAGTAGTAGTTTGCTGTGCATGCTCATTTGATGGCCACTTGTGTAAGCAAAAACTTTTGTTTCCTGTCTATGAATTGTAAAGGGTGGAAACTGTAGGCTTTGCTTCATTTTAACTTGCTCCTGGAAGCTGTGTGCTAAGGCTCAATCAACAGTAACATTTTACAGTCAAGTTATCAGTTCCTGGAAACAGAGGAAATGTTAAACACTGACAGAAAGACCCTTCACTAATGGCAATGCTCTTTGTATAATCCAAGAAATGAGCATTACTATTCTACAGAGAGAGAATGCTGCTGCATTCCTGTATTATCTATATAGAAATCAGGTGCTACATATGAAGATGGCCTTTTTAGGTATTGTAAGCAAACAAGAGGTCACACAGGCTAAGGACAGAAATTATATATGAACTGGTATAAGTAATTGGAAACCAGTTTGAATCTGTAATACTACAGAAGTTCAGTGCACATAAGTCACTCTCAAAATAACCAGAACCATTTTAGGATAAGCCTGTATGGATGTAGTACCAGACTTAAATGATTTAGGTTAAATCAGTTTATTGAACTTCTGTCTCAGATCCCCTCCAGATTCAAGTTAACTCATAGTCAGCATCCCAGGATGCTTTGTGCACCTCTTCCGCAAATCCCTCTTTGCAGGGTGGGCGGGCTAGCTTTGGATCAAGTTGCCTGCTCCAGCCAAGCAGGGAGGCATGCTCTAGCACCCCCCAGCTTCTGGCCTGGGCCACTGCAGGCATGTGGCTGCTTTTCAGGAATTGAAAGGGAATGTCTGTTCACTTGCTTATCGGTTCAATGTACGCAGCTTAGACTAACCTGTGAAGACTGAATCAGTTCAGCCTTAGGCTTTTTGATTGTCTGTACTTAGCCATAGTGACAAAGCCTAGGGGTGCTAATAGAGTTTATATGGTTCTTTGGCAGGGCAAAGATGGCGAGCCTGGCCTTGATGTAAGTAATATTTATGACCAGTTTACTCACAATGGTAGGTAAACTGTTCTTTCATGCACTAGTTGCCTGGATGCAGCATATCTTTTTTTTTTTTTAATTACTGTGCATGCTGAACATGTAGGGAATATACTAAACATTGCATTGCTGTTGTTCGCATATGACGGAAGGAAGAGAAGGCTGGAGAAAATAAATAGTGTATTTTGAAAAAGGACAGCCCAAACCTGCTAACCTCAGTGAGGCTTACTAACATAACTTCCCTGGGACTCATCACTGTATTAGCATGATTGCTACACATGACAATATTTCTCCAATCTGACCCTAAATAGTATTCCTCACTAGGCTCACAACTTCAGTCCTTAATAGCTGATTGAGTAAATTCATCACTATTTGCGAAGAATAACTGCACACTCCACAAGCAGTGCATTTTTCAGAATTTAGGATTTCTGATGACATGTTAGGGAGAGCTTCCTGGGATCCCATTCCCCATTTCCCAAAGCTACAGAGCACAGCAACCCTGTTAGCCAGAGCCCACAACTGCCACTTAGGATGTACAACAGGGAGAGTCACTGCCATTGCTTCTGTTCCTTCAAAATGGCCTTGCCAAATAGCATGATTTGCATTCCTTACAAAAAAGCATGCAGCAATGTAGTCTTATATACATTTCCCAGCAGTATTTTACAACCTAGCCCACGTACATGTCAAAACCAACAGAAATCTTTGTTCATTTTTTTATAGGGTTTCCCTGGTCCTCGAGGAGAAAAGGGTGATGTAGGAGAAAAGGGAGAAAAGGTGACTTCAGTGCTGTTTGATATTGCTCAACTCCTTAGCTCAGTTAGTTTTGTCTTATAATTTGTCCCATTAGACCTGATCTTTCTTGCTTACTGTGTGCCAAAAGGCAGGTCACAGATATTGGTAGAGAAAGTCCTGTGTCACAAAGAGAAAAAAAACTTATGTGCTGAACCAGAAACCATGGGCGACTGGTGCCACCTTAGTTGGGATCAGTGGGGGGCACGTGCCCCCCCCCCCCCCCCACACACCCCCCCCCCCCCCCCCCCCCAGCAACCAGTCAGCAGCCAGGGGGGGCTCCCCCCGCGGCCAGTCTCGCTGACTGGGGGGTTCACCTGCTGACTGGGAAAGGGTTCCCAGCAGCCAATCTCACCGACCAGAGAGTGGGGAGGATCCCCAGCAGCTGATCGTGCTGACCAGGAAGCAGCTATGGCACTTCATCCAGCTCTCTGACTCCCCAGCTGGCACTCACAGGGTGGGCACTGGCACTCCCACCTGTCCCCACCTACCCATCGCCTAAGCAGGGAGTGTGGCCTGTCAGGGGGTGCACCAGAGCTCTCAGGGGGTGCGCATGCACCCCTGTGCACCCCCTACACATCGCCATTGCCAGAATCTTTAACACTTACCATAAGAGAAGGGCAATACCCTCAGCCTAGGATTAGGCTCTGTTCTGTAACCCATTTCATGTCTGCTGAAAGTCTGTGTCAGCCTGGGGAAGATTATGCTAACATGAGGTAGTGCAGCAGTGACTTTCCATTGGGGACCTTTGCTCAGCTCCCCAACTGATGTAAAGTCGGTGTAGTGCTCTGGATTTCAATGGGTCTGTGCCACTTTACACTAGCTAAAGGTCTGGCCAATTATTAAGCTGCTCAGGACCAAAAATGGTGCAAATTCAGGATTAAGAGAATTCACTTAATTGTTTCCATTCAATAGCTTTTATTGATTTAAGTCCTGCACCATAGTTTTTGTAAACGAAACAATGAAACATTTCTCTAGTGCACCAGACAGTGAAATTAACTAGGAACTGCCTAGCCTCATTTTACTGTCTGAACGGAGTGACATGCATATCCTAAACAAACACAATGAGGAGCAATTTAGGGATTGAAGCAAAAATGGGAGCAGCCCTTTCTTGGGAAACAGAGTGAGCACACAAGGAACCACCTTCTCTTGTGCTACAAGTATAGGTCTCTGTGCTCATGGGGGCATTCTATGCACCCATTAACTGGCTTGCAATACCAGCCTGGTATGCTGGAGGAGCAGACTGTATCGTCTTAAAGGACGGCAGTATAAATAGTTCCAAATATTATTTATTAGCTTAAGTTTTTAATTGACTTCACTTTAATTATATCAATACCATTTTTTGAGTTTACTTGCCACAGGCAAGCAGGTGATCACATTTCACTGATTTGTGTTCACAGAAAGTCCCATGACAAGAATTGACAGAAACAAAATTATGAAGTCACATGTATAATGGATCTTTGCTCCAGAAGCATTCATGCATCCTGCCAGTCTAGGGTTGTGAAGAATACTGCTAGGTCAGCAAATGCTAGTATTCTGTGTCACTGGTGTATAACCATTTGGGATAATTACATTTTCCAGAGAAGGAGTTAAAGGGATCCACACAATACTGTACCCAATCCTTCCTCAAGGAGCTCTCAGAGGTTAAAGCATTCTTCCTTGTTTGATAGACTTTTTCTGAGGTTCCTCTGTGTTACAGAGAAGTTGCAGGTGCCACTCTCAAGTAAGAGATTTTGAACTTCAGGACTTTCCAGAAAGCCCAGGGCCACATGTAGGAAGTAGGGCTGTATATATTAAGCAGTAAGATTCCAAGTTGTTTCTTGGTGAAAAGACAGTGGTATCTTAGCTGAGGCTTCTGTAAAAGGGAATTACTATTCAGATTATGACCCTTTCTTTTCAAAGAGAGAGGAGGTGATGCAACTTATAAATAATAATACTAACAAAAATATATTCTGGGAAATGCCTTGATTCTGTCTCAGTGATTTCTACACCAGAAGGGGAATTTGACCCCTTTAGTATGGTTTGGCAAAGGTGAGACATGGCACATGGTTTACCTGCCCAAATGCCATTTTTCAACACCAAACAGCCAAACCTCACAGAGAAATGTTTGTACATTATCAGTTTGCACAGTTAAAGACATTTACAAAACACTTTAATCCAATGATTATTTATTTTTGGTGCTGTAATGATTGATAACTTGGGTTAAAGAGAAAGAAGTATTTGTTGGTCAATGTCTTCAGCTGGTGTAAACTGACATAATTCCATTGAGCTCCAGCACAGGTGCATCCCTTTGCTCCAGCTAAGGATCTGGGTCAGCAGTTTGAAATATTGTTGACTGATAGTGACCATTAAGTGAATGTCACAGAGATTCTGTTTTTTATGTTTCTAACAGGGATGTAAATATCATTTTTAAAATATTGGTTTAACCTCCTCTAATTTTATCAGTTAAACGATTAACTGATAACACAGTAGCTCAGACACAACTGCTGCTGGGAGCCACTCTGGCTCCTGGAGCCCTTGACTGGAGAGGACGAGAGGAGACAAACCTAGCCAGATAACATGGGTGCAGACAGAAGTGACAATTTTCACCCTGTCTGGCTACAAAAAGTAGTCTATAGCCATGACCAAATACAAGTGCATGGCTGCAGACTGCTTCAAAAATGACCAGTTTGTTGAAAATCTGAACCCTCTTTACATGCAAGGTCAGATGAAGATGTTTCAAAACACAGCATCTTCTGTGACTTGTGTCTGTGCTGCCTCCCAGCCTGTCACTGTTTTCAGAATGGAAGGGGGGAAAGGGAGCAGAGGGAGTTTGGTCAGTTTTTCAACCCCTGCTGGAGGGTGGGGCGGGTGAATTGGAGCCCCCGCTGTGGTAGGGGATGCTCCAGTTCACACACCCCACCCTCCAGCACCAGCTGGGGAACCCCTAGAACAAGCTCCTTCTGCTCCCTTTCCCCCGTCCCATTCTAAAACAGGGACAGGCTGGGAGAAAGGAGGGGCCATTGCTAGGGGAAAATGTCTGCAGGCTTGCAGCCAGCAGCTAGATTCCTCTCCTCCCTGGAACCAACAGTGAATTTCTGTTTGGTTGGGGGGAATTGTTATAACTCAGAAGGCTTCCTGCAAAGCATTCTCAGTTACAGCAGGGAGCTGCACTTCTGTCTGCACCCCACATTCCTGCACTGGGAGGCAGAGAGCACCTGTGAGCAAGCAGCTAATTGCTTAATTGATGAGTCATTAGGCTGCTCACTGTTTTCCTCTTAGGTTTATGAGTACTAATCAGGGTTGCCAACCCTCCAGGATTGCCCTGGAGTCTCCAGGAATTAGATATAAATCTCCTGGAGACTCTGAGAGTCACCTAGGAGATAAATTATAGGGCACTCATTAAAATAAATATGGAATGTTGAATCCAATTTATACAGTAGTCCAGCTCGTTTTTAAAATGTAATAGTAATGTGCATTCACCTTCCTGATGTAGGTTGCTTGTACAGGCCACAGGGGTTTAATTTGGTTTAGTTCTCCCTAAATTGAAACAGTGGTTTTTTAAAAACACCACTTCAATTTAGGGAGAATTAAACCGAACTAAACCCCCCTGGTGTGTACATAAGGGTGGGGGCCCAATCCTTACCTGCCTCTTCGGCGGTGGGGAGGTGGGGTAAGCTACTAGCGGTTCAAGCGGTCCCTGAGCTGCGTGGGGGCCCCTCAGGTAGCACCCACCCACTGGCACCCAGCCCGGGAAGCACCGCAGCCACATAAGGAAGCACCAGGCCCCCGCACAACTCAGGCAGGCTCTGAGGAGAAAAAAAATAAGATCAGGCTCGCCGCTTTTTTTTTCTTCTTCTTCAGTGAAGCCTGCCCATATGGGCTGCTGCTGGGTCCCACAGCCCCGGAGCTGCGCAGGGCCCACCAAGCCCCGAGCACATAGGCTTCAAGCACCCCGTGCACTGTTGCACTTCGTTAGGTAGCAAAGTAAAACACCTTGGGGGTGTTTTGTCTTGCTAAGTACCAAAGTCATTTAAAGTGGAATACGCCACCGAGAGTGCAAATAGCAATGCTATTAAAGTGGAATATACTGCCAAACATGCAAACAACAACACCATTAAAGCGGTGCAAAAGAGCATGTAAGCCACTGTAAAGGCCATTTTTGTGGTGTGTACAAAGGTCCGTAAAGTCAGTAGCGAATGAGTTTTAGAGTACAGTAGATCAGTCATTAATGTAATTATATCTTGTGATGAAACCTGCTTGAATGATCTCAAACAGAGTTGGCAACCCCAGTACTAATCCCCCTTGCCCCATCTCTCTTCCCCTCCCCTCCTTGCTTCTCTCTGCCTCCCTGCTGCCTGTCCTCTGCCTTCTGATTCCTGCTAGGGCACCTGGCAGCTTCCCTTCCCCACTTCCCTGCCAGATTGCACCCACCCGGAGCTAAAGGATAACCAGTAAGCTAACCAGTTATCACTACACTTACCAGTTAAATAATTAATCATTTAACTTTTCACACCCCTAATTCCCAAAGTAAAAAGTTGAAGTTAATTTATCTGCAAAAATGTTCAACACAAATAACAAAAATGCTACTTTTGATACCATACCATATTAATGCTACTTTTGTTTTTCATAGACGCATATTTCATATAATGTTGAGTCAGGTCCAAATCTCTATTCCCTCCTGTGAACAAACCGCACAATATTTTTCCTACAGGTCCTCCCTAAGTCCACTACAGTGAAATGGAGTCAGTGTTTGCATTATAATCTCTGCTTAACTTGGCTGTAAAAAAGTAAAAGTCTTCAGAGCTGTACATTGACAGACATGGGTATAGCTGAGGAGTGCTAGTAGAGAAATAGGTTTCAAAATTGATTCAGTTTGTTTCTTTGTTGTATGATTAAAAAAATGAATCCTTATAAATCATTTAATTAAATACCGTTGTGGTATTTTGGGTCACTAAAACAGATTTTAGAAAGTCAGAGGCCAGTAATAAAGATTTTATATCTTCTTTTCATTTTTAACCTTCTTTTCTTTTATTTAACCTGCCTTTTGAAGGAATTAAGGATGGAGATATTTTCTTGACTACAGACTAAGAGCTTGACTCTGGGAAGCATTGTTCATGTCAGTGGTAGCACACTGCAGGTCTGACCTTAAGGACCTTGTGCTCCCTCCTATGCACTCATCTGTGCCCATGGGACATAGGAGCATGTGTCCTTCTCTAACTGTGTTGCAGTCTGTCCATAGAATTGTAGCTCCTTGGGCCTGGAGGGGGCAGGAAACAACTTGAGGAAACCAGCTGTGATTCTCTAGATTTTCCATCTATAAGTATGCGGAGAGACATTGCACAATTTATTGCAGTCTTAGTCTAGTCTTCCCATGCTAGGCTTATCTGTCTAATGTGGGAAGAGCAAGGCCATGGCTAACCCAGACCAGGAGGGATTCCTTGAAGCATTGTGCCTGAAAGAGCAGTGTTTATAAAACCTATTGGTAGAAGGCAGCAGAATAAAAGAGGCATTCACAAAGACACTCCTTGTCCTCTGTGGATCCCCTGAAGTTCATGTAAACCTCAGAGGGTGGGTGAGTTGTAGATTAAAAGAAAAAAAACCCCTCACTCATAGGAGAAATTAGTAGGAAGCTCAGTGGCCTGAAACTGAATGACTCGTCTCTTCCATGCATGGATTTTTTCCACTTAGAAGGAAACAGCGACCCTTGGTTTTCACTGCAAGGTTGGAAATCAGAATGATCATCTTTTGATCTGTAAATTGATCACATTGGAAGCAAAAGTCTTCCAGAATTTAGGAAAGAAAATTAATATGGAACCAATTCCTACTATACATTATCACTTTTTTCAAGCTCTATCTATACTTAATGTTATGATCTTACCAACCCCTGGGTCCAGTCTTTTAACCCAGAATTGACTGATCTCACCTTGAAGTAAATGAGTTTTTCCTAAATAAACAGTGTTCAGCTGAACTCCCCATTGTGCCTGGATTTTCAGAATCTGCGAAGAGAAGGGAAAAAGTCCTTCCGTTGACTTCAGTAGTTACTGCTGCACCAGAAACCAAAGCTGCAATAAGGCCCTGGGTCATTATGAGTGGGAGTCTAGTCATACACGTACCATCCACATCTTTGCTAACCCTGAAAACATTTTACAGCTGCTCTTGCATGTATGTGAAGTAGATGTGTTTGTGCTATACAGAAGGCACACTACACAAACAGTATAAGCTCTGACCCTGAAATTCTATCTTTGTCACAACAGGTAAAGACTGAGCTAGCTTAAATATCCTGACATTGTTTTGTGTGTGTCTGTGTGTATGTGAGGGAGAGAGAAAGTGACATCCTTAACGTTCCTGAAATGTGAAGTGTTTGTGAGGATGTTTTTCCTGAATACTAATATGCAACCTTTTTGGCACACAGGAAAGATAAATGAGGAACTCTTGTTTACATAGCATCATAAATATAGTACACCTGTTCCTGGAAAAAAAAAATCTTTTAGTGTAAATGTATACAGTATGCTATAGAATATCTTATATATTGTGTTTAGTTTGTAAAATACATTAGTTTGCTTAATAATTTAAAGGTTGTCTGTTTAAAAAAAGCTCTTTCTTTCTGCAAATGAATTCAATCTTTATGTATTGCTGTGAAATTGGTTGAATGTCTATTTCATGTATTTTATCCTAAACATGTTTGCCTTTCCAGAGGTGCACTCGTTCCTTCTCCTTCTACCTTCATTCCTTACAGTTCCTCTGTCTTTTTTATCCGTTTCCTTACAAATTAAATCTTCCCTACAGCCAAAACCTTGACCACCCTCCCTTGGCTATGCTCCAGTGTCCTACTAATTTTCCTTTAACTATTTTTCCCATTTCTTTGTAATATTCCTGATTTTTCCCACCCTGCCCTATTTAGCCCTAGTCCAACTAGTTTCAATTTAATTTTTTTACTAGAAGCATTTTGATGTTGTTAAATGAGAGTGAGCCTGAAACTCATTTACCATTGTGATCCACTGGTGTGAAATCAATTATAAAATGAACTCTTCCAGTATCACACACTGCTTGAGGTAGAGGTCACTTTTTCAGGTAGCTCTGTCAAAAAAACGGGAGGGTAATGGCGTTATATCCTTTGAATGATCAAAAACTGTGAAAGTCACTGTAAACCTTTCGTTCAGAAATGTTATCATCCCCTTTGTAACAGCAACTCTGTGCGAATTCAGTCACATGATCAAAGGACCAAATCATGTTAAATATCGTGCTGAAATTTTCCCTGCAATGAAGATTCATGTTGTGAGCATGAAATTCATTGCCACTTTCAGTTTGATTCTGATTTGAGAAAGAGAGGGATCAATGGAAAATTTTGTAGCACCTCTACATCAAGCAGTTTGGAATCTCTGAGTCCTTTAGCAAGGTTTGAAATGAAGGGCCAGACTTTATTCAGAGTGGTATCTGTGCAACCCCATGACTACAATGGGCTCACGCAGGCATAATTTAAGAGGAGAATTTGACATAGACTCAGGTGGAACTGACGTGTGAGACCAATTCAGCAAAAAGCATCTCGAGCCACTCATTCTTGAAGTGACTCTACTGAATTTGAGAGTCAGACAAGGAATCATTTCCCCTTATTTTTCCCTCCTTTTCCCATCAGTTCCCACTTCCTCCGTTCACAAGAATTATGCTAATCTAGGCAGTTCTTGCAGAGCCACATCTTATTAGAGATTCTGCTTGCCTGTTGAACCCCAAGGAAAGTGAAAAATTCTGCTTGTCGTACCAGTCAATTTCCATGTTAAAATGGCAGCACTAACAATCACTGAAGACAAGCAGGAGACACCTGATCCTGCAGACAGGTTAGACTGGGTGGGCTTTCAGCTTTGTCTCTGCATCAAGAAATCCACCCCATTGTTTCAAGCCCTGCTTTAGGATTCAGAGCATTTATAAAGCCAACATGAATACAAAAGCTCAATGATCCCAACTGATTCAGTCCTTGCTTATGATCATATAACTTATTTTTCCACGTAATGCACTATCCAAACTAGAACACAGTGGTAAGTGTCCTTTCAGCCCTCCATTGACTAAAAAACATTTTTACACCAATCTTTCTTTATTCTTTTTTTCCCAAAAGAATGAAATATTTGTTTTATCCAAACCATTGTGTCCACAGGGGGAAAAGGGAAAGAAAGGCAAAAAGGGGCCTAAAGGGGAGAAAGGAGAACAGGGTGCCCCTGGATTAGATGCACCTTGCCCATTGGTATGTCTCATTCCTGTATTGGAAATCGATCATCCTACTGTACTTTCGAATGACATAATCTGAGGGGAGAGGAACAAGCTACAGCTACCGTGGAACCTGGTCTCCTTCATTAAAAGATCATCATTTGCTAGTCTGAACATTGGTTTTGCCATTCCAATTTGGTTTGAAATACCAGTTTTGAAGATTTTAAAACTGGATGTTATTGATGGGATATTTTGCTGTGTCTGCATTCTGGCTACCTGTGTCTGCCAGCGTTATGTGCAAATTGGGAATGCAAGTAGTCTTTTCTTGATGGAAGTATGTCCATTTAAAAAGTCGTTTCCACACATTTAAAGTACCATTGCTGTCAGCTTTCTCCTCTTGTTCTCTATTTTTATTTGTTTGCTCCAGCTAAGTCAACGCCCAAGGCATTTCTTTGTCAGTAACGTTACAAGTTAATCTTTACAAACAGGGATTCCGTGGAATTAAGGGGGAAAAAGGGGAGCCAGGCCAGCCTGGCCTGGATGGGCTGGATGCCCCTTGCCAATTGGTACAGTATTTCTCTTTCCTACCAACCCTGCATGCGGTTCCTTTGTTTGTAGTCAGTCATTCCCAATGTAAAGTGTTTCTATGAGCAGACTTTACATTGTTCACATAATACATGCATGTGCATGAAAAAGCAAGCTTGCTTCACTGATCATAACGGTGTTGAGAGAGTACGCAGTGGAACCTAACACCCAACATTTTGCTCCCACACGGTGGTTTGTGAGTTTGTCTCCTTCCAACATTTGCAATGAATATAATTTTTCCCCCTCAGGACTGCTTGTTTTTGTTTTTCTCCCAAGATGCCTATTGCCTTACTCACTAAGAAAAAAATTCACCTCTGAGCAGAAAACCAGCATAAGGACCATTTACCGTTTACATTTTATGGCTGTGTCTGCATAGGTGTGAATTTTATCCTAACCTGCCCTGAACCATTCTGCACACTTGGCTCCAGTTAAAATCAACAGGAGTTTTGGATGCAAAATGTTTTCAGGATTCAGGCAAGAGATACATCCATGTAAAGAATGAGATAAATATTGATCTGTCAAAGTTGAATCACAAATGCTTGCCATTCGCAATTAATGGGCCTGATTCTTCAGACCTGATTCATCAGAATGGAGTTTTTGGTACATATCAGGCCTACAGGTCACAATAGTGTTTAAATTTGAAACACAAGACTTACCTGAGCTTTGTAAGAAGATAATGGTCTGCAGCCTGACCCCTCACTGTCTTTGTTATTTAACATTTTCAAGTTAATGGTCTTTTCCCTTGGAACTTACCTCCCTGAAATACACACAATACTCTCCCACTCTATGTTAGCATGAATTCAAATTCCCATCTCTACTAAAATTCTACTTGTTGACCCTCTCCCTTGTACCAATCTGGCAACAACGAGGTGGGTTTTTTTACATTTATATATATATATCTCTCTCTCACAGGACATATTAATTTTTCCATTTAAAAATGAACAGTACATACACATTTCCTAAAGGCTTAAGAGAGATTTTTTTTTAATTGTTGGAAATTAAAATTGGTCTGCATGTTCTGATATTGTTTGTTAGCTAAGCACGGTTCTCTTTAGATGAATGTTAAAATTAAATAGATATTATTTCAAGTACAGTTTTTCTAATCTAAATTGTTAGTGGGATTTTAATCTTAAGTACCTAGTCCATGTTATATTTTGTTTGCTTCTGATTAATGATAACCATATCTCATATACTTTGTTGGGGGTAATCAAGCATGCCTTCATAACTAAAAAAAGTGTTCCTCTGCTGTTGCTGTATCACTTATATCTGGAAAATCCTTACATAATTACTGATGAATGAAAAATATTCTTCTGTAGATAGGCAGTTGTCAGGATAAACTGTTAACTGAGCAGTGATCTTTCTTGCTCTAGAAAGCAAGAAGTTCCCATGAGAGTTCAAAAGTTTCTTGTGTTTCTCAGAATTGTTAACAGATAAGAAATCCACCTAAATACCCTTTTAAACACATGGGTCCTGATTTTTCTCATTTACATTTCAGTGTCTTGAGATGCTGAATGCCACTGACTCGTAGAACTTGCCTCATTGCAGGTTCAGTCCTACACACCAGGAGCAACTTCATTAAATCAGGAATAAGTCAGTTAAAAATGGTGTAATTGAGATCAGAATCTGGTCTTTATCTGGGGCACAGAGGGTGTAAGCAAAAGCAGGGAATGGTAAAAGGAATGGATTAAAGTGGCTGCAGCGAACAGAGTCCAGGTACTGACAAGCATATTACAACCAGCTTGACAGCCAAATGTCTGTCACACACTATAGTCAGTTTCTATTTTTCCATCCTGCTCCCACTATTGTCAAAACAACTTCAGCTGGTTTCAGTGGTTGTAGGTTCAGTAGTTTTCCTTTTAAAAGCTAAGAATTTTTAAAAAAATCTAAATATCCCCATTGCTGTTTGGATATATATGTCTTCTCACTGAGTTAACTTTGTACCAGGAGCATAAAGCAATACACTCCAGATAAAAGTGATACATCATTGTTCATTGATTTTGTATATTCAGCTGTAGAATGTTTTGAATAATAGACTCGCGTTAAAGCCATGCATAGTTCTGCAGGGAGTGAATCCTGTTCAGCTGATTTGATATAGCCTTGATAGCAACAGGCTTAAAGTTATGATACAAATAGATCAGTGTGAGTAGACGCTGTTCAGTCAGGATTAAATTTTCCTCTAAGGAAGGGCAGGATTGTAGGTATTTGCAGTGTAAATACACTTTCTCTCTGTTAGATACTTGGCTTTTTCCTCATCTTGAGTATCATAGAGAATTCTAAATTAGGAGGTAGGAGCTATCAATTAGATAAGAAGGCCTGGTTGTTTCAATAGACACAGTATCAAACTCAACAATGCATTTTTTATCTTTTTTCTTGAAACAGGGGCCAGATGGATTACCAATGCCTGGCTGTTGGCAAAAGGTAAAGTAGGCAAATTAGTTCTGCATAGAAGCACTGTCCCTTTTTATTTGGCCTAAGGAGAATCCTATCAGCTCCACAAATATCAGCACTCCAATTTGCTTGAGACTATCTTGTGGACATTTCAGTACACAGCAACATAACAAATAAGCTCACTGTAAATATTATCTGTGTGATGAAGCTGTCAGATGTAGGAGTTATAACACTGTTTATGCAATTTTAAAACAGTTGCCAGCTAAGTTTCTGGGAAGTCAACAACCTTTGTTCCTCACAGGAAGAACTACATATCTTTCAGCCTTCCATATGGGAAATGAGTTTTACCAAAATGTTCATAATGACCTTCCAAGCCTAGATTTTTCTTGGGTTATCCAAAGGGACAGTGTATCATACTTCTGTTTCCCAGCCCTTCTCACCCTCCAAGGCATTCTCCTGACCCCCAGTTCATTTGTCTTTGTGCTTGTTGCTGTTTTATAGTAGTGCTAAGTGATAACATCACTAGGATGGCAATTTCCAGCCATTTATTGGTAGAACCCTGAGAATGGGAGATTTGAAGTCAGTCAGCCTTCAGAATAGACATATCAGCGAAAGGATATTTATTCCTCTCTGAATACTGACTCATGAACCATAAGTGAACTACTGGCTGAATTTTAAGTCAGTGATAAAACTCTGATTGACGTAAATGGGGTAGGATTTCATACCGAACCCATTTCAAAGGTTAATTCTGGAGGGTTATTCTCACACAGTAAAATAAATATCTATTGACCATTTTATTTGAAAATGTCAACTCATGTGAGGAATTGTGGGCCTGCGGGGAAGAGGTACATCTAGCGCTCAAGCCAGGCAGTACCTCCCCAGGTGTGTTAACTGGGAACAGAGTCCATGCCTAAAGCCAGCTAGCTAAAGGAGCAGTTAACAGCGCTGTTTTTTCAACAGGACACACTCTAGAGCAGGGATGGGCAAAATACAGCCTGCGGGCCAGATGTGGCCCGCGAGGCCATTCTGTCTGGGCCGCGGGGCCCCTAAAAAAATGTAGAAAATTAATATTTCTCTGCCCTTTGTTCCTGTCAAAAATGACAGGAACGAAGGGCAGTAGGACCCAGGGGAAGCCCGGCAGGCTCCCACACCAGCAGGGCCCTCCTGGCCCCACCCTCCAGCCAGAAGCCCCAGACAGGGTTTCTGGGCTGGGAGCACATGGCTGCCCCGCACGGGAAGCTCAGGTAAGTTTGGGCAGGGAAGGAGCGCGCGTGGGGGGGGGGAGCCAGCCCCTCCCCACCCCACCCCATGCCTGGTGCCCCGTGCTGCAGCTGCTTGCAGCCCACTTGGGGCTGCCTGTACCCGCTCCAGACAGCCCCATGTGGGCTGCAAGCACCTGCAGCATGGGGCACTGGTCATGGGACGGGGGAGGGGCCACTTCCCCTCCGTGCTCAGCTTTTCCCTGGGCTCCTTCCCTGACCAGAAAAAAGTGGCCCCTCACCTACCCCATGGCTGCTGCCCCGCTCTGCAGGCGCTCACAGCCTATGCGGGGATGTCTGGAGCAGACACAGGCAACCCCAGGCAGGCTGCAAGTGGATGCAGCATGGGGCACCGGGCTTGAGGCGGGGAGGGGCTGCTTTCTCCCCCCCCGCGCTCCGCACCCCCCTGTAAACCAGCCCCACAGCCC